TGTGTGTGAATTTTAAATGTCTGGGATAAACGATCATTTATAAGCATTTAATAAAACAAAAACCCTTTGCTCCTCCTATTAAATAATAGCCTTACCAGCAACTCTTTCCAAACATGATACTATTATGAAACAAGATATCATGTGCCAAAGTTGTCCTGGGGAAGGCTTCACTCACATACAAATGGATGGATAATAGCATGTGAGAAACGAGGAGTTTCTCCACATGTCACAAACAGTATCTTCAAGTGCATGGTCACTGAAGAGTTAAAGTGACAGCAGGCTAGGCAGACCACAACAAAATCATTCCAGTCCACTCCTAATACCTAAAAACAAAGCTGGCTGCCTGCTCCGGAAAGATGGGAGTACCAAAAGAAACCAAACCCAAACATCCCGTAATAAAAACTCGTGACGACTTCCCTGTTTAGGGGCACAACGGGTTTCCTACTTCACTTCCTAAGTGTCAGGCCCTACAGTGGGCGAGCCAAGGTCTCCTCCCTCGGGAGGCTCGCGGACCTGGTGCAGGGGAAAAAACATGAACAAGACCTCAAAGATCTAAATGTAGGGAAGACTCCAATATAGAATTGAGCAGTCCGGAGAAAGAAAAGTTAATTCTGCCAGGAGTAGGGCAAGAGGGGTCGAGGGAGGTGTCCCAGAGGTGACTGTAGCTAGACCCTAGGGAGAGGGAAGGATTGGGGAGGGGTGAAGGAATCCTCCGAAAAGCTATGGAAAGTGACTGAGAAAGGAAGAAGCAAATCCACTGGGCGCCACCGCGCTCCCGTGTCCCGAGACGCCCCCGGCCCCGCCCATACTCCCTCCCGGCTCCCAGGGCGGGGGCCGCGGGGGAAGTAGGGGCGTAGGTGATGCTCCCCTCCCCGAGCCGAAGAGGCGGGGGGCTGCGGCTTCGCCCCTAGCCCGGCGACATCGGCATGGGGGCGACTCGGACCCCACCCAGCCCTCCGGGAGGCTGTGATGCCGCGCTCCACGCCCGCCACCGCGCGGCAGACAGCTCCCCACCGCACGCGGACACTCACTTTCTCGTGGAAGATGGACTCCATGTTTATTTGTCTGGAGCCAACGGCCCCCACATCAAACCACCCCCTCCAGCTCCGCCCCCTGTCCCTCCCCTCCGCCCACCCCGTCCCACCCTGGTCCCCCCGCCCACGTGCCGCACGCAGGCCAATCACCCGCGAGGATGCGAGTCACGTGAAGCGAAGAGCGAGTGAACGCCGGGGACACGTGACCTTGGTAGCGCGTCCTCCTAGCTTCTGTTAGCGGGCCTTCTGGGGGATGCTACATCGCCACCTGCTGTCTGGAGGATCTTCTCCGCTTCCCACCCATTTCTATGGTTTCTTAGGTTTCTGGGGGGAGGTCTGGACCACTCACCTGGGTTCGATATTCTTTTTGTTTTCCACTTTGTACTTTCTACTGTGTTCATATAACTATTTATTTTCTTTCTCCTCCTCCTCCACTGAAAATTTAGTAAGAAAAAGCCATCATTACATTCTCCCAAAACCTAGCACTTGTATAAAAATGGTAGCTAGGCCGGACGCGGTGCCTCATGCCGGTAATCTCAGCACTTTGGGAGGCCGAGGCGGGCGGGTCAACTGAGGTCGAGAGTTTGAGATCAGCCTGACCAACATGGAGAAACCCCGTCTCTACTAAAAATGCAAAATTAACTGGGCGTGGTGGCGCATACCTCTAATCCCAGGTACTTGAGAGGCTGAGGCAGGAGAATCGCTTGAACCCGGGAGGCGGAGGTTGCAGTGAGCCGAGATGGTGCCATTGCACTCTAGCCTGGACAACAAAAGCGAAACTCCGTCCCCAACCCCCCAAAAAAGGAAAAAAGTGATAGTTAATATTTATATAAGGCTTTCTATGAGCTAGGCCCTTTTCTAAATGCTTTGCATATATTATCAAATTTAATACAGCAAACTTTGATGTAGCTGTTGATGTTATTCATACACATGAGGAAACCGAGGCACGGAGAGGTTAAGAACAGCACAATGTCCAAGGTCAGATGGTAAGTTGCCTTGCCAGGATTCAAATTCAAGTGACTTGTTACCACTGTAGGTGTTCGGGCCCTTTAGAGGGAACTTAGAAGTCTCATATATTGTGTGGGAGACGGGGAGGTAGCAGCGGTTTGATGAAACTTGAATGGAAGGATAGGTGCAGATCTTGCACCTTGAAACCAGATTAAGGTGTACTTTTTTTTTTTTTTTTAAGATGGACCTCTCTCTGTTCCCCAGGCTAGAGTGCAGTGGCACAATCTCCCCGCTCACTGCAACCTCCACTTCCTGAGTTCAAGTGATTCTCTTGCCTCAGCCTCCCAAGCAGCTGGGATTACTGGCACGCATCACGACGTCCAACTATTTTTGTGTTCTTAGTAGAGAAGAGTTTGTACCATGTTGGCCAGGCTGGTCTGGAATCCCCAACCTCAGGTGATCCACCTGCCTTGGCCTCCCACAAGTCCTGGAATTACAGGCGTGAGCCACCGCACCTGGCCAAAGTGTACTTTTAAAAGGATGTGGGGAGCTATATAAATATTTTAAAAGAAGACACGTGGTCATGTTTGCATTTTAGAAAGATCACTGGCTGCAGAAAAAAAGCAGTTGCTGTTGAAGGACTCTTGGGAGAGATGACGGTGGTTTGGACTACAGTGGTGTCTTAAAGATGGAAATAGGCCATTCTGAGAGATTATTTGGACGTAAAGAGACTCAACAGAACGTGGTGATGATACGGCTTCGACCAGTGGAAGAATGCTAGGGTTTTCGTCTTGAGTCGAATTACATAAAACGACATGAACAAACGTGGAGTGGTTTTAAGGAGCATAGTGTTTAATAGGCAAGAAGGAAGGGAGAAGAAAGAAAGAGGAAGCTCCCCTGTAGACACAGAGGGATGGGGGCTCCAAAGCCAAGAGAGGAGACCCGGAGAGTAGGGGAGATACCAGCCAATTATATGAGGAGGCTGCAGGAGGCGGTGTCTGATTTGCATAGGGCTCAGGGGACTGGTTTGACCACGCATGTCATTAATGTAGCCCTCTAAAAAAAACTGGCCCTCCCACCCTAGCTTTTTAATACGCAAATGCAGGGCGCCACGATGTTCTACACATGTGGGGATATGCAGGGGTGGCCATGTTGCCAGCACATGTGAGAGCAAGGGCAAGGGGACAATGGTGGGAATCGCCCTGTTGGTGGACCCAGTTTCTAACTGCCAGCATTTGCATATTAAAGGTTGCCAGCTTGGGTCTAACAGCCAGGGCTTTCACGCTAGACAGGAAACATTTCTGGAACTGCTTCAAAGGAGACAAAAACTTTTTAAGGACCCCTTTTCCTCTCTATCTGCCTAAAATAATTTCTTAATTACGCCTACCACAGTGAGGGATTGGGGAACGCAGGAGACAGAAATGTGAAGGTGACTTCTGGGTTTGTGCCCTGGGCAGCCACTGTGACAGGAGTGATATTGAGAGCAGAAACAAGGGAGGAACAGCAAAGTTTTGGGAAGAAAATAAGATAGAGTTTACATTTTGGAGATAATTTGAAATGTCTATGGACATTCAAGTAATTATGTTGAGTAATGGTTGGATACCAGGTCTGAAGTTCAGGAGGCTGCTTTGAACTCAATGAGGAATTGTCATTAAAAAAAAAAGGTAACTAAGGCCGGTGTGGTGGTGCACGCCTGTAATCCCAGCACTTTGGGAGGCTGAGGCAGGCAGATCTCTTGAGGCCAGGAGTTTGAGACCAGCCTGGCCAACATGGAGAAACCTCATCTCTACTAAAAATACAAAACTTAGCTGGGCATGGTGGCTCATGCCTATAATCCCAGCTACTCAGGAGGCTGAGGCAGGAAAATCGCTTGAACCCAGGAGGTAGAGGTTGCAGTGAGCCAAGATTGTGCCATTGCACTCCAGCCTGGACAACAGAGTGAGACTGTGTCTTAAAAAAAAAAAAAAAAAAGTAACTGAAACCATAGGAGTGAATAAAATCATTTTAGGGAAAAGGAAGTGCTTGAGAAGAGGGCTACAGCTGAGCCCTGAGGATAGAGAAGCAATAGCCAAGGAAGAGGGAGAAAAAGCAAGAAAGTGTGACATTGTGGAATGCCTGGGCAGGGGACGCTTCAAGGGGTAGTCAGTTTCAGTTGCTGCCAGTAAGTCAAGCAATACAAGGACTTATAAGAGGCCACTAAATTTTGTTGCTATGGAGACAATTGGTGACTTTGGGGACTGCAGGTTCAGAGGAGCAGAGGGGGCAGTGAGAGGTAAGGGAATGGAGACTGCCAGAGAGGACCAGGTGCTGAAGGAGAGGATTCGGTACCATTTATTGAGCATCTCTGTGTGCAGAGTTCACAGCCTTGTATGGGGAAAAGTCCACGTTCTTAAGAAATTGTGTGGCCTACCCAGGGAAATAAATCATAGTCTCATAAAGTGAAAAAAATTGCAAACCACCTTTTTTGTTTTTTTTTTCCTTTCTTTTAATTGTAGTTGATGTCTTTCAAATGAATTAATGAAGTCAAAGGTCTTAGTCCTTTTGGGGCGCTATAACAAGATATCTTAGAATAATTTATAAACAGAAATGTATTACAGATCTGGAGGCTGGGAAGTCCAAGATCAAAGCTCTAGCAGATTTAGTGTCCGATGAGGGCCCATTCCTCATAGGTGGTGCCTTTTTTGTGTCCTCACATGGTGGAAGGGGAAAAGGGGCAAACAAGCTTCCTTTCTGTATAAGGGCACTAATCCCAGTCACAAGACTTGGCCTTATGATCTGATCCATCTCCCAAAGGCCCCACCTGTTAAACCAACACACTGGGGATTACATTTCAACAAATGAATTTTGGAAAGATACAAACATTCAGATCATAGCACCAAGTATCTGGGAATCATTTTTTATTCTCTTCCCACAACTTCTCCACATCACCCCTTATTCCAGTCAGTCCTCAAATGCTATAAATCCACTCCTAACTCTCTCTCGCCCTTGTCTTCATTGCTACTACTTAGTTCAAGCCCTCTTGCTATCTTGTGTAGTCCAGTCCAAGGATCTTTGAATTGGTCTTCTGATTCCAGTCTCAATAGGTCTAATTCATGGTGCTGTCAGTGATCTTCCAAAAATGCAAATCGTACAAGATTTTCTTTCGTTTAACAAGTATAACTGTGTATCAGGCCCTGGGACTGTAACCATGAAAAAGACAGACAGTCCCACCTTCAGGGGACTTACATTGGCAGGGATTCTTAAATAATTACACAACTCTTACTTCAAAATCCTTCAGTGACGGCTGGGTGCAGTGGCTCATGCCTATAATCCCAGCACTTTGGGAGGCCGAGGTGGGTGGATCACCTGAGGTCAAGAGTTCAAGACCAGCTTGGCCAACATGGTGAAACCCCATCTCTACTAAAAATACAAAAATTAGCCAGGCATTGTGGTGGACACCTGTAATCCCAGCTACTCGGGAGGCTGAGGCAGGAGAATTGCTTGAACCTGGGCAGCAGAGGTTGCAGTGAGACGAGATCGCACCAGCGCACTCCAGACTGGGCAACAGAGTGAGACTTTGCCTCAAAAAAAAAAAAAAAAATTCTTCAGTGACTTCCTATTGCCATCCTATTGCTGGCCTGAAAAGCTCTGTGATCTGGATCAACCACCTGTCCTGTTCTGTGCTCACCAAATTCTCTCTGCCCCAGTCACTCCAGACTCCAGTCATACTAGCTTCTTCCTTTTACTTCTGGAAAGTTCACTAAGGAAAAGTCTTTTGTGCCACCGCTACACCTTGAGCATGCCTACGTTAAAGCACCATTACATCATACTGGAAGTATTACTTTATATACTACTGAACTAGCAGCTTTTGAGGGGGAGAGGAATCTTATTTTTTTATTTTTTTTTTTTGAGACAGAGTCTCACTCTGTCACCCAGGCTGGAGTGCAGTGGTACGATCTCGGCTCACTGCAACCTCCGCCTCCTGGGTTCAAGCCATTCTCCTGCCTCAGCCTCCCGAGTAGCTGGGACTATAGGCGCCCACCACCATGGCTGGCTAATTTTTTTGTATTTTTAGTAGAGAGTGGGTTTCACCATGTTAGCCAGGATGGTCTTGATCTCCTGACCTCATGATCCGC